TATTTAGCAAAGGCATCTCGGCTTGCTTGGTATTAAAAACAGGCAGCCTTTATATCAACCTCAGGTATGTTGCTCAAATTATAGTTTAGTTAATCCCTAAAAGCTAATGACCCCACTTGTCTCCTGAGGGAGGCAGGGTCATAAAGTACAAAAACACCGGAACAGTGCATGGTTCAGAAGAGCTCCATCCATTCGTCCCTGCCTTGTGACTCTGGGCAAGTTCCTCTCTAAATCACAGCCTCCAATTTTAAAAACAGAAATCAGGATAGTACCTACGTGCCCCACAGTTTGTTATAAGGACCCATAGCCTACGGCTGCAAAGCCCTGAGCACAGAGTCTGGTACACAGTAGGGGCTCACTCAACAGTAGGTAATCCTTTTGTTATAAAAATTATCATTTGCTTGTTCGTATTGGCCGTAGGTAATCTGCAATTTCCCTGCATCACTCTTAGAAGTGAGAACCGGAGGAGGAAGCATTCTCTTTGCAGAACAAGACAGTGTTCTCAATAAATGCTACATTGTCTTTTTATTAAAAAGGAAAATGAAGGGAGAGTGGCCACTGCCCTCGCTCAAGGCTTCATCTCTTTTGACCTGCCCAGTGTAATGGAAAGGGGGCTGGTACAGATGTGGGTAGAGCAACAGTCATTTCCTCATCTGGGTTTTATTACTCATTGGATGGTTCCCTCTTGCAACCTACACAGAACATACTGTCCTGGGAACAAGAAGTCGATTTGACGTTTCACTGGGGCAAATGGCTCTTCTCCTAGCTAACAATATTCTTGGGCCAAAAGTGGATCTCAAAGTGATTTCCCTTCTTCCAAGTTCTCTTTCATTCAGAATTTGCTGATATAATTTATTCACCCAATGCAAATTGGTTGAGGACCATCACCTGCCAAGAATTTTGCAAGGAGCTGGAGGTATCTTGAGGATCACAGTTGGGGCACTCGAGGAACTTAGCCCTGGGAGGGAAGCCAACATTCGCAAAAGGGATGAATAATTTCAAACTGAGCCAGGAAGTGGTTCTCAAGAGTGTAAAGCCTCTCTCGGCCTGAAGTGTCCGCAAAGACTTCCCTGAATAAGTGACACAAGAACTGAGTGGAAAGCTCAGGCCGGAAGCTTGGAACCACATTTTCCAGATTCTTTTTAGAAAGGGGCTGGTTAGATCCTGCTGGAGAGGCTCTTGTGTGAAATCTGGAGCTCTGTCTCAGGGCATCCAGTCTTGACCAAGAGCATGATGTAAAGGCAGAGAGAAGTGGGGAAGAGGGCAGTGTCAGCAGATAAGACACCTGGCCAGATACTCCTGGTTATAAGGTCATGGCATGGTCTGCCTTTCATTGGTCTCCAAGAGCTGCCCTGTTTTTTTGTGTGTTGTTTTTAATGTTTTTATTAATTTTAGAGAGGGAGAGGGAGAGGGAGAGAGAGATAGAAACATCAATGATGAGTCATTCACCGGTTGCTTCCTGCACATCCCCTCCTGGGGAATGAGGCCACCACCCGGGCACGTGCCCTGACTGGGAATGGAACCGTGACCTCCTGGTTCATAGGTCAACACTCAACCACGGACTCACGAAGACCAGGCTGTCCTGGTTCCTGATCATCCCCCTAATGTGGGGCTCTGGATATTCTTGCAATAAATTCCCTTTTGCTTCAGGGAGCCAGAATTAGCGTCTGCTGTTTGCATCCATCAGGTTGTTTGCTTCTGGTTACATGCCACATTGCTCTCCACCGCACTTACATTTAGGATTATGCATGGCTACCTCTCCAACCAGACTGTCAGCTTCTTGAGGACTGGACAATGTCTTCCTTCTCTTTGAACCTCCAGGATCCAGAGAAGTGACTGACTGACACATAGGAAACACTCAGCAAATGGGAAATGGATATGATATTGCACATGTTCAGAAAATTAGGATGTTTGCCAATAATAAATGAAAAAGCTCAACTGGATGTTTAAACACTGAGAAAAAGCTAGGCTAAGTCAAAAAGTCCTCCATACCTTACACATCGATTTCACACTAACGTGGAAATCTTTTATGTTCTGTAGTCATCTTCTCACATATTACTTTTTTTAAAAAATTCATAAAGAAACCCAGTATGCTAATAACTATGTTCCTATAGCATCCTTGCCTCTGAATTTACTGTCATTCAGAACTTCTACCACCACAATTCCAAATGAGTAGATAAAGCTCCTGAAATGGGCAGGTTCATAACACCACTCCCAGGAGCCAACTCCACTCACCTCTCCCTGCTTTTTCCAACCCTCAGAGTAATCCATGAAGCCCAGTAGACAGCTAGTGAACTTGGCTTCCAGAGAAATCACCATCTGTTTTTCTACCCCTAATAAATAAAGTGCCTCTGCTCCATAAATTCACAGTCCTTGTGGAACTGTGACCTAGAATGAAAATGGAGATAGAATTTTTGTCCAGTTTAATGGCTCTTTAAAAAATATCTTGGGTAGTAAGTTTATGCTGCAAGAATCTACGGGCCGCATAACAGAATTTTATCTGGTTCAAATAATACTACCATGTCCTAAAACCCTCGGCATTATACACTTTCCAAATGTACAATGTCGTCAAAGTTTTATGACATTTCCTACAAAAACGACTCAATAGTCAGGTAGCACTTCATCAGCTGCAGTTTGCATTCAGGTATCGGAACAGAATGCAGCAGGAAAACTGTGCCGCTCCCCTGACTTCAGTATCTCAGCCACAAGGGGATATTCCACTACAATTTTCATCCGTGAGCATTTCTGTCCCCTCATAAAAGAATTCCATATCTTGGATTACAGAGTAAAGCCAAAAATATGGTGGTAGGACCAAAAATCCATTCTCGATGACTTCTGTTTTCCTACAAAAGCTTAATTAGAGACATTCTGCCATGTGGGGAAGGGGACTCTCTATCTATCTTTTTTTTAAGCCTCACCAGAGGATGTTTTTTCCATTGCTTTTTTAGAGAGAGTGGAAGGGAGAGAGACAGAGATAGAAAGAGAGAAAGAGAGAGAGACATTGATGTGAGACACATCGATTGGTTGCCTCCCAAACGTGCCCCTTCCAGGGCCGAGGATTGAGCCTGCAACCAAGGTTCGTGCCCTTGGCTGGGATTGAACCTGGGACCCTTCAGTCCATGGGCTGATGCTCTAATCACTGAGCGAAACCAGCTAGGGCTCTGTATCTTTACTTCCTTCTTCCAGTAGCAAAATGGTTAGAGCATTGGGTCCTGTATGCTGTCCAAACATGTGACTTGTCCACGTGCTCATGCAGTACACAAGGCTTCTAAGACCCAGGGCTCTAAAGACAAAGCTGACAGATAGGAGGTGCAAGTCCAGCCTCACCGGATTCAACATGGCTATGAAAGGAGCATACCCAATTCTACTGGCATCGAAACACAGTACTGGTTGCCAAAGAGTCTATGAGAAAGAAATATTAAGTAATACTCCACCTCTGACGTTGACATGAGTTTATTAATCTTCCCTGCCAACCCACCCCAATTCAAAGCGTATGCTGTTCCAACCCAGGCCTGCCCTGAAACAGCCAATTATGCTGAATTTGGTCAAACCATTAAGGAGTATTCAGTCCCAAAGACAATGTTTCATAGGCCCAGTAGCTTCGATATCACTTCCCCATTCTGAGTTGGGTTCTGAACTGTGTGTATCACTTTGGGGATTGTTTCTCTCTCGCATCACAGGTATAGTACAACTCCTGCCCCTTCGCTATGTTGCCAGTCATTTTATTTCCTCCCCAAGTGTACTGGTAACCATTCAGTGAAAAACACTCGAAGCGGAACGACTTCTCCAAATATACGCGAGATATTTCCATGTTCATTATCTATATGGTTTAAATAAGTAGAATTGTGATCATGTTGCCCAAAGGAGCCATGGTATATAACCGGCTTTGTTCTAGAACTTTCAAACTGGTTCCCAAACCTTCGAGTCTGCCTATAAAGAAAAGTTTAAAATTTTACAAAATATGCACATCAGCAGATGTAGTCATTTATCACTTAGGCATGAAAAGTGCCTTCCCAAAATCTTTACTGAGATTATTTTTGCCACCTACTTCTCAAGCATGAGAGTGCTTATCTCACCTCCTGTTAAAACAAACAACTGTGATTGTTCATCCTGGATTCGCTCCCACACATGGTGTCATCTTCAGAAAACTACAGAAATGAGGCTTATTCTCTTAATTTGCAATAACCATTTTATTCTATTCTCCCAAAGACAATAAAACTTGTATCTAGATTGTATTACCTTGGGCAAGCCTACCCTAAGTCTCAGTATCCCTCAGTTTTTCAGGGTTAATAATTGTACCTGCCTCACAGGGTCCTGGTCAAGACTAAGTGAATCATGCATGTGACACATAGCAGAGTGTACAGCATAAAGCATTCAACATAAGTGCAATAAATGTCAGTTTTGTCCGCATTCTCTGCTTGGTATTTTTAATGAAAAGACTTCTTTTGAATCCTCAGTACATGTTCCAAGAACTTTCATTTAAACAGTTTCTCTATTAGTCCTGCCTGCCCTAGACAGCCCCTTTGATTCAAGGGTCCTCGGTGGTCTCTTCCTGGCTCTCTCCTAGTTATCAGCATGGGTATGTTACAACTAGTTGGAACTTCAAAGGAGAGATCCAATGACCAGGGCCTCGTCTGCAAAGATCTTGTCAGAAATGAATTAATAATATGATCCACCTGATCACCAACACCCTCAGAGTGAGGATGGAAGCCGCTGGGGATGGGGACAACTTCGTGGGCATGCGACTTGTGAGGCTGCACAGGGCCCCACACTCAGTAGGGCCCCTTCCTTGGTTTAAGGATCTACTATTACCCCATCCAGAAATTCACAATAAAGTTTTAAAAGGGGGTGTCCCACATTTTCATTTTGCATGGGTCCCAAATATCATGTAGCTGGCTGTGACTGGAGAGTTTTGATTAGAGAGGTGTGAAAGGTTTTATGTTAAAAGGATGGCTCTAGCTTCTGTTTTAAGAATGGGCTATAGGAAAGGTAAGGGTATGTTACAAGTTTATACTTCCTAACATAAAATGCTTTAAAAATAATTTCTTCTTTTCGACATGCTCAAAAATGTCTCTGAGGTGACAAAGCGCGGATGAGGCCAGCTCCCAGCCGGAAGGGCTCTGCCAGCTACTCACCTTCTTCTGAAGAACATTGATTTTTCTTTCCTTCACTTCTAACATATCCTTCATGTCTCGGATCTCTCCCGCCAGTGTCCCCTTCTCTTCCGTAAGGTCCTGCAGCTGTTTGGTTTTTTTATTGAGGAAAGATTCTTTCTCTTCCAGACGTAATCTCAGTGCATCTACCTGAAATCAGGAAGAAGAAAGAAGGCGCTGGTTTGATACCCAGGTCACCAGTGGCCATCAGTCAAGCCCCAGGAGGGGGAGAGGGGGCCGCAGGAGGCCTCCTGAGCACAGAGTGATCGCACCACTGCTCGGGGGCACCTGGGCGCCACGCATCTGAACAGCCTGCCTCTACCTTAAAGTCCCACTGCGGGTGTATCTGAACAGTGATTCATTTTTTCATGTAGGTTTTTTATGAAACGGTGGTGTGTCTACGCTGGGAAACGAGAGCACCGATCCTCGTGCCTCCGATGCCAAGGGAGGCACCGCGCTCGCTCCGCAGCATCCTCCAGGAACACAGAGAACACGGTGAGCCAGCCACAGGCACCTGGAAGGAAAGGTTGACATGGAGAGAGACACTCCTAAGCTAGAGAAAGACCTGTTGCCAAGGGGAAGACAGTGCTGCTAGAGCAAGAACATGTGGAAATGATGCCCACTCGCCAATGTTATTAAAGGCTGCTTTCCCAAGAACAAGGTAAACAAAGACAAGGCATACGAAAAATGCCTATTTCTACCTTAACCCCAAAATTAGATTGTACAATTCCTGCTTTTCAAATGTCAGCAATAAAATGAGGACACGTAAGCTCTATTTTTTTTTTCCAAAGACCACATGTAAAAGGAATTACATGGGTGACGTGGGGCTGGGGCGATGGAAGACCAATCCTCAGCCTCCATCCCAGGAATTCGATAGGTGGCGGCGACATTGATAATCAGGAAGCAACGATACGAACATCTTATTTAGAGATAGAATCAAAATAACCAGGCAAAAAGAGGGCACGGTTTGTCTCTGGGAAGGAGAAATGGGACAGAGATAACAGGGGCTGCTGCAACTCACAGCAAAGTGCGCTCATTATACTAAGAGCAAGTAAAAGTTAATGAAAAGGGTGGGGGGAGGAAGAAATTATAAAGAAGGAAGCAGGAATGCCACAATAAATGGATACGCAAGTACTATGAGGGCACAGAGGCAGAGGCTTAGCCTGGAGCAGCGAGAAGAGAGCATGAGGCCCTAGGCTGGGTTCTCTGCGCTCCAGCTGAGGCTCAGGATGAGCAGCTCACTTCCCCGCCCAGGCTTTGGGCCCCAGCCTCAGTTTCTTCCATCGTAAAACGAAGAGGGTGGGACAGAGGGCCTGAGGTTTTATGGTTTTAAAGACAGGAATCAGTCATAGGTAGACTACACAGTGCAGAGGATAATATGAGAGATACAACAGTTATTGGGGATGAATCTCCTTCTCTTACAAAGCTGTGTTTCTAAAGGTGAGAGGTGCTGAGGAGGTGGGTGAGTAGAGTTTTCCCCGTTTCTGTCCCCGAGAGGAAGATGAAGCTGGGAGGTCCCAGCAAGGGAAGGGGTGACAGCAAGTGCTTGAAGCCCAGGTGGCCGAATGACCCTGGCTGCATTACGGGAGAGGGTGGGCACCCGTGCCTGCAGACGGTGGGACCTGCAGACTCTAAACATCTGCTGCCTGGGCCTCTTCTCGCATAGTGACTGTGGAGATGGAGGCGCTGGGAAGGCGGAGGGGATGCTTGTGTCTGGGGATCTTCCCTCCCCTAAATGAAAATTGATTCCAGTTGCACTAAAGTTTAAACATAGAGATTCTCAAGTGGCCTATCTTTGTTTAGTTATCTCCATCTACCAATCTGGAACCCCATCAATACTTGTCTTTGGATTGTCATCGTATCAGGGAAAAAAGAACTATCTTTGTTTATACACAAAGAATGGCATTTGTGGGTTCCTTGTACATGGGCAGGACATGCTGAGCACTCCAAATTAGAGAAGTGATTACAAAGGGCTCCACTCGAGTGTGAAGATTTGCACATAAGCTGACCAGGACTCTGTGAACCTGAGAGGAAATTGTGGTCCCTTTAGCCCCACATTCCCGCTATCAAAGACGGATGGTCTCTATCTGAACTAAAAGAAATATCCAGTATCCAAAACTGTGATATAAATAAACTATATTATGGGAGGTAGTGAGTGGTGCTAAAGAGGGTTTAGAAAACAAGATGGTATTGATGAAGAATAGAGTTAATATTTGCAGTGCCTTCTAGCCATGCTCGATCTATCAGGGCCCAGCTGCATCTCCCTGAGCCCAGAGAGATAAAAAGCAACCCCAGCTGTAAGAATACTTCCCCAGGAATAAAACAGAGCAAGGATGGCCGTGATCAACACCTACTCGTAACACCCAAATTCTACATGGCAGGAGGAGTCTGTGCCAGCTGAGGTCTTCTGCTTAGGAGTTTCTTTTCCATGCGCCCACAAGCATGTACTTAGCTTCAAAGAAATCTGAGCCGTGCCCTTCAATCACCTTCCCTCTATCTTTACAGCTTTGCACGGTCTCCTACAATCAAGAAACAAAGCTTAAGGGCCTTTTTTTTTAAAAAAAAAGACAAAACTTTGACCTGAACTGCATCCAATTCTCAACCAACATTAGCCCAGTTTGCAGTAAGCAAGTATGACATCATTTCTAAAGTCAAATTTTAACTTCCAGATGGTGCAAAACCACAAGCAGGCGCACAGGCCTTCTGATGCACAGAAGTTTAAACGCAGGGAAGATCAAGCAAGAAAGGACAGAGTCTATTAAAAATTAGAATGTGTAGTTTCAAACTGGGTGTCAATGGATAGGATTAAAGTTCCCCTCACTAATATTTGGACTTCACTCAACAGTGTATATCAGTCAAAAGAGAATCAGAAAAGCCTTGAAGTTTAGACTATAGTCCAACATCAGGTAGAGACATAAAAGTTAAAATGTTTGAGAATATGAAATACTTTTCTTTGCCTCTTCACTCAACACCAAATAATTTTAAGGGCCCTTGACTCTCTCTCTTAAACTTTGGCAGTTGACTCAATAATAAAACTTGGCAAAGCAAAAAGCACCATCATTTCCCAGAAAAACAAAAGAAAATTAGAACTATATGATATAGTCGGTGCATAAAGACCCATAGGTTGAGTTTCCAACTTTTACATATGACTCAACCACATGGGAATTAGTCACCTAATGTTAAAATTAGGACAATCCTTTCATTTTAGGAGAATTACTCATTTCCTTCTGATTAGGGTATGTGTGTATTTTTGTGTGCATGTGTGTGTGTGTGTGTGTGTGTTTAAGAGCATCTAACACATGAAAATCTAACCTTTTATCTGGCAGTATAAAGCACGAAACATTTGTTACCACTTCAGTTCCAGGTAATAACTTGAAAGAAAAGGACCATGGCAATGAAATTGGCAAAAATTGCCAAAATCGGAGTTAAACATTATTAATCTTCATGTCAGCACCCAGGAATTATAACCAGCTCCAATGCTGAGGTATGTTTGTAGAAGTCCTATACATCAGCCCCCCGACCTTGCTGCCATATTTTACACGGGCTTCAGAAGCGCCTTTAATGTTGTGACAAAACACTAAGTGCTACTCGATGTGCCATAAATAAGTTTCTGAAATCAAACGGTTCATTTCAATGTTAAAATGACTACAGCAACACTTGAGAAAGAAAAGAAACGCTTGAGAGAGAAAAAGGGGCCACTTGAAATTTTTCGCAGATTAAATACTACTTACTTGACAACGCCTCGGGAATTGAACAAACATGGTATCGCAAAGAACAACTTTAAAGGCAAATGAAACTGGAGCGCTCACCAAAGCTCCCAGTATGGTTTTATTTCACATTCAAAGCTCTGCGTGTTTGTTTTTCCTAGTAGGAGACTTGGGTTCAGGGTATATTTGAATTTGATTTCACTTGCAGTCGCTCAAACGGGAGATGGTTTCAGAGTTGGGAGTACACGCTCCGCGTACACAGCCGCCCAAGTCACACAGGCGAAAAATCCCCTGAACTGTAACACTTGCTGCGGTGGCAACCAGGCCTTCTCCGCATACGCAAGTCTCCTTTCCCTCCTGGACGCGGGGAAGATCTCCCTTGAAGGAAGAGGGGGCCATCTGTTTTATTCATGAAATATACACAGAAGCGACATCTGTCACTTCTCCACGCCACTCCCCTCCCCACTCTTCCCCTTCCTCGGAGATCTTGGGGCTACATTTTCAGGATGGTGGAGCTATAAAGATGGCAGAACCTCCGTAAAGCTGGATCCTCAAGGGGCCACAAGAAGTAGCATCCCCTACCTCCCGCCCGCCCTCCGATCCCCAACTCCTGACCTGGGTTGGACTTGCAATATGATGTATTAAGCTACTCAGAACTTTAATTATAATAATGTCCCCTGTTTTTGCTAAGATGTTGGCACCTTAAAACTGGATTCATTTTTCTTTGAGATTACCACAAACCTGAAAGAAATGGGGCCATTGTACCTCCCTCTACTCCTTCTATGTGTAGGATCTCAATGCCTCTTTTCTCCTATATTTTCACCCCAAATCCAAAGAGCGGAAATGGCATGGAGCCAAGGGTAGAGCTAACAGGAACAGGTAGCAGAACCCTGGGGAACGGACTCAGAGGTTAAAGATGAAGACCTTGGGGAGAAGAGGGAAAGAGACCGAGGAGGAAGAGTCCACTGAAACTCATCGGCTTAACCTTCAGCTTGTGTGGGCAAGTGGCTCACGTGGACAGCTCTGTTTTGCAAAAGGCTGTGCATTGCAAATCCATGTGTTCAAGTAACTCATGGCAATGACCATGGACTTACCACAGGCCTTCCAAATGTTGGGAACAAAACTAAGGTGTTATAAGCGAAATGAGGATCATAACAATACCTCCTTCATCAAGTTATTTTGGGGATTAAATTGAATAACATGTAATGCACTTAACACAGTGCCTGGCACCCAGAAACACTCAATAAATTTTTGCTATTGTTATTATATTTTATTATTCCACTTTCCACAGCCTCCACGCCAGTGATTTATATACTGTAGGAATGCAATAAAGGCTGCTAATCAACAGCCCTCAGGAAAAGTGGAGAACCAGCAAATAAGGTTTTGTGCTCTAACATGTAGCAGGGTGTTATACTGTCTGTCATTTGCTTTAAATTATTTCAG